CCTGCATTTCGCGCACTCGACACGCACGATCTCCGCAGAGGGTTGCGTTTCGTGGCGGTCCGGCGGCACTGCCCCCGGCCTTAAGAGAGAAAGTTAAGAAGAGCGAGAGGTGAGGATGTGAGATGTAGATATGAGGATGTGAAGATGAGCAGAGATGTAGACGTGCAGATGTGAAGATGAGCAGAGATGTAGATGTGTGAAGATGAAGATGAGCTGAGATGTAGATGTGAGGATGTGAAGATGAGCAGAGATGTAGATGCGCAGATGTGAAGATGAGCAGAGATAGAGGTGACAACGTGATTGTACAGAGGTGAAGATGTGAAGATGTAGAGGAGGTGTACTTCTGCAGATGTTTTTTTGCGAAGAACCCTTCGCAGACGCTCTCGGGAATATAAAAAGAGTTTCAAAAAATATCAAAAAAATCCCAGGTGCCTTGCATAGAAATGTGAACTGCTTGCAGTAGTCACCGAGAGCATCAGGCAAAGTCTTTTCGTCGAGCGCTCGCACCTCCCACCCTGGATTCCAAAGTTCGAAAGACTTCCTCACGATGGCGGTCTGGTGCGGTCCGCTGCGGTCCCGAGTAAACGCGACACGCTGCCTAGCCCACATTTCAATGATAAGGTTTTCTGTCAAAACTGCGACTGGCTACTACAAACTCACTCGAGCAAGCCATTACCTTTGTTGCCATGCTTCTTGCACTTCTGGCATACATAGGGCGCACGATCCCACCCCTGAAACCACAGCATCCAAACAACGCGAGGAATGGCCGTGGAGGTGACACCTGCGGAGCCAGCATAGCCGCTGCTCGTCGGCATGGACCATGAGTTATGTGCTTCCGGGGGAGCACAAAACCACACAAGAGAAGGTCGTCAAGTTATCATTGTGTAGATTAGATTCGTTTGTCTTGGCTTTTTCTATCCTCTTTTGTTATCTTTGGGCCAAATGGCGTCTGATGGCACTGGACAAAGCAACTCTCTATTCAAGTCACAGATTGGCTTGTGGGCAATTAAAGCACAGCTGCAACTGCAACACTTATCGTGCAAAGTTTGATATATGCCGAGGAGTATGCCATCGTTAGAAGCATTCCCATGACAATACCAAGGAAGCACCTCACTGCAAATGGACATTCAACAAATATTATTAAATATATAGATATGCACTGCAGTACACATACATTCTCAAGGTTCTCCGGGCAAGGGCTCCAGCCACTCTGCTGATACTAGGCCTTGCAACCAGGACATGCCTGCAAGAAGGGAGATTTCCTTCACCTTGTGATGTATGCATATGCACTTGTAAGGCGGCCCGAAGTAGACAACGCCCCCCTACAAAAGGATCTCTTTGGCCTTGATCTGAGCTCTCCTGCACATGTGCGATGAGCAGTCAGGCAGGACTTCCCTCAACTTGAGCTTTTTGTTTCTAGCCTGAGGATGCAAAAGTTCGTGTGGCCCAAACTTTCGAGCTGCAAGCAAGTGATCGAAGGCCTCGAATTGAACAAAACAACACAGTAACACAGTATCACTGTTGCAGGAGTCTGGATCCTTCTCTGACCACCTCCCATAAAGGTTGCAAACGTGCCCAAACCTGCCGACTTCGCCCTAGTGCAGTGTGGCTGGAGAATGAGCTAGTACGTAGTCCTTGCAGAAAGGATTCGTTACCGTTACCATAGGTGTTTTGGTGTTGTGAGAAGCACGCAGCCGCAGGAGGAGAATAGGAGCCCGGAGAGAGAGAGAGAGCGAGGGAGGGATGGGAATCAGAAAGAGGGGGAGGACAAACAAAAAGAGAAATTACAAGGTGCAAAGAACGCCGGGTCGCCAGAAATATACACAAATAAGTGAAACGTGCATAGGAGGTTGACGTAATCCAGGGAAGCACATTCTTTGTAAGTGGTGAGCTTAAAGTCGATGACAAAATGGTCAACAAATAGATACACGTCAGCCTGGGCGGAGCTGACATGGGTCTGATAGCCTTAAACAAGTGCTGAATTGAACTTGAACAGCTTCGGAATCAGTCAAAGGTACATGGATGACAAAATCTCCATGCAATGGAGTGTCATGTGCTGGTCAGCAAGGCCGTCGCCACTTGAACGAAAGGGCATGTAAAAGTGCGTGGAAGAAAAGTTGCACGGCATACATAAGCAGGGGGATCGGCAAATTCTATCCCATCCCCTGCTCAAGCAAAAGGGACTGCAATTACAGTAATCCTGTCCTTGGATGGTCTACTGTAGTCCATTTGAATTCACTGGCGCCTGCAGCTGTGTCTCATCCCAGTCACTCCAAGACCTGGCAAGCACTCATCCACAGCTGTTAGAAAGAGTGAACTGGTTCCAATCTTGTACCCATTGTTCAACCCAGGCAGGTCAAGGCTTCATTTGCTGGCGCAAGTTGCAGGTTCACTGCAGAGTGACACTGCAGCCATTTGCACATGTTTGTTGGCATATGTTGGATTTTAGTTTCTGTCAGCCTTTCATCCTTGGTCCTTTACTTTGGCGTCTTTAAATGGACATTGAAGACGTTTGCTCCCAGGTTTGCGTTGCCGGCTAAAAAAAGATCATGTACACCCAAGTGTTCTTTATATTTTGCATGTGACAGTAGCAGTTGAAGTACAATGAATAGAACAAACAACTGTCTCTGATAGTAATTGTGACCTTCAAATCTGACTCAATACTACACGTTGGGACAACGGGGGGGGGTTGCCCCGAAGGCAAACCTTCCCGTCGACCCAACATGGTTTTCAGGGGGGTGTGGGGCTGGGGACAGTTTCGTTCGCATTACTACTCCCGTAAATCGACATTCGCGTTGCGCTTTCAGCTTCATGACTCGACACTCGCGTTACACTTTCGGTTTAGAGGACATGGCGAGCTCCACGCTTGAGTTTTGTTTGTGTTTGTCGTTAGAGTTTTGGTTGCGTTTGTCTGGTTTGAAGTGCCCTTCCCCAATCAGCATCTGAGGGATTTTTTCGCAGCAGGCTGACCCGGGCCCTTTTTTGGATGCAAAAAACGGAAGAGATTGGACAGCAGACCTGATTTTATGTGTCTTGAAAACCCATTCAAGTCCTCGTCTTGGAGTTCATGAACTCCAAGACAACAAGTTGAGTGGCCCGAAAGGCAAAAAAAATGCATGCTTTTCTAGCCCTATGCATGCTGCTGTCGGGGCAAACCCCCCCGTTTACCCTACACGTTGTTGCCCTTGTCACCTGTACTTTGGCACTGTCAACTGCCGAAATCCGAACCTGTGACGCAGTTTCGCCCAGTATTGCCTGTCAGCACTTCAAAGGTGTGCTAAAGAAAACGTCACCAAAACTACATGTTGGAGCTAGCTGAAGCAAACCAAGAGAACCATCCTGCAATGTTTGCAAACGAAGTCAGCACAACCCACTACAGCAAACAACATCTAGCACAATTAAACTTAGGCCGCAGCTGAGCTCTCAAAAGTGTTTCTGCTTCGGGAGACTGGCTCGCTGAGGCGGTTTTTTGAAAAATTGGAGAAGCAGCCGCCCAGGTGCAAGAAACACGTGTCCAAAGTATGCAAACATCGGAATTTGGTTTTGGAGCGCTTAGACTAGATAGGGTCAAACGTTTGTAAGATTGGGTACTAGGGTTAAAACGGCTCGACTTGGGCATTGGGAAATTTAGATTATTGACATTCATAGCAAGGGTTGCTTGATGTGGAAGCTGTAATAATTTACTTGATTAATGGTATCGGTATCCCGGCTGAACACCTGCCAAGACAAGAAAGAAGGCCAGGGGCCTACTTGGCTCACTCAACCACAAGTCTCAAAACTAAAGAAGGGTGAAGGAACCGAGAACAGGGTGTCTCAGATCCCACTCTGCAAAGCCTCAGAGATTTGAAATTTATAGAAATTTGGGGGTATGAGGCCCACGGCTTTGTGTTGCACAGGTCACCTGCATGGACCATGTGGAACATCACTGATGGAAGACAATGACACCCCCTAATTTTAGGGAGGCGGGTGGGACAAAAACCAGCAACCACAGCGCCACCGAGCCACAAAAAAGTGGGGCAGGCAAAGCAGTGACACTAACCGAACCAGCCCAGTCATGTTCTGAAGTAAGTTTACTTTTGCGCGCCTGCCAAGACAAGAAAAAGGGAAGGCCATGGGCCCACATGTTTCCGCCCTTTTTCAATCAAACAGACACTGGCAACCTGAAAAATATGAGGCCCGGCCCACGGATCTGCGTCGCACAGATCACCTACATGGCCAAGGTACAGGGGAGCACCGCTTTTTGCGAAAGTGATACCTAAGTCATGCCTAAAGCGCAAACCCCAATGTCACCGCCATTGCAACATGCTATCTTCTTTTGCTCAGCCTGGAACCAGTCAAGTCTTCTTAGAAGACCAAAAAACAGCACGGGCTGGCACAAAGCGCTGTGTACGGTTGTGTTTATTTGCACTCAACCAGGCCTTGCGCCCTCCGCTGCTAGCAACCATCGGGGCGTTGACGAACAACGATCCCAAGCTATCAGCTTTGCTGGCTTGGGAACGTAATGTTCCCACGTAGAATTCGGCAACCGGTCGGACGGTGTTCTCTTTCTCTGGCGCAGTGTGAAAGTTATCGTTGGGAAATTACCGGTTGAGTGAGGAAAAACGACGTCAAAACGACGTCCAAACGACGTGGCAAACGACGTCAACCATATGTCCCGACCAGTCCTGCTCCAGGAGGGAGGGAGCATTGAACAAACAGCTACCAATCAAACCGTCAACCGGCTTCATCTTTCCCACCGGGCGCGTGAACCAAAGATGAAAGCAGTCCACTCTTGTTTCACTTCGCAACGAGCTTGTCGATTAAAAGAACCAAAGGAAGTCAAAACCAGAACGCCTGACCGCCTAGCATCCATGCTCAGGTCAAAAACCATTGGCTCTTCCCAGCCAAGCCCAGGGAAGGCCCCGTCCAAGCAAGAGCTCATAGGTTGGGCTCTAGTGGTACACGGAGTGAATTTCCATTCCCACCCATTTGCCATTGTCACGATGAGGAGCATTCAGAAACGCAACGCCGCGCGAATGTCCGTGGCAACAAGGGCCCAGCCGCTCAAAGCAGCTGTCCTCAAGGGCGCCCTGACTTGGCAACCATCAGCACCGCCGGCATAGCAATCAGCATTGGACTCGGAGCAATTCCCCCAACACACTGCTCGGGCCCTCCGAGCTCCAGCACGTAGACCGTCTTGGCATTGCCCCTCAACTGCCACAGCCTGCAGGCCCCCGAAGACAGGGCCATCAAACTGTCTTCCTTGGGCTTGTTCTTTGTTTGTCGCCCTTGCCCTCGCCTTTCCCCTTCTTCCGGTCGCGCCACGCTCATCTCGTCCGCGCTGCAGTCGCTTTGCCTTGTTACTGCTGCATCCCGACGCCCTGCAGCAAGATTCCCCGCGTCACAGCCAGGCCCAGGGTTCCAGAGCAGATCTCCGCAATGCGACGCGCCCGCGAGTCCGGGTCGAACACAAGTTCTCCGCCAGGTCGTCCACCTCGCTCGGGCTCTTGTCGCTCCAAATGCCGGAAGTCCGCGAATAGCTCTTGCCGCTTTTCTTCTCCTTCGCCCGCCTGGCTTCGCACACCACCCTGCGTCGAACCTTCTCCCTCACGTCCAGTCTTGCCCTCAGCGGACTTGGGCTTCTTCCCATCCAAGCGGCTGATGAAGTCGTCTCGCCCTCAGCCCTTGACCTTCTTTGACCCCGGGGTCTTGACCTTGCTCTCCTTATCCTTCCGGTGACTCGAAGACGACGCCTTGTCTTTCTTTTTCTTCTTCTTCTTCTTCTCCTTCTTCTTCTTCTTTGAGTCTTTGAGTCTTTTCATTGCTCAACATCAAGGGCTTCTTGAGTAGGGTACATCTTCAACAGATTGCTATTCAAAAGGGATCTGACTAGATCCCTGGTTGTCCTGTAAAAAACTGAGAGATTCCCAAGTTATCCTGGCACCTCCCTCTCTCAACACACACCTGAAAAAATACACAAGTATTGCTCAGCTCCACCCTTTTTTCTTCCAAACTGAGACAACTCCAGCAGTCTGCACCAATGAGAGCACCTGCAGGGCTCAGGGGGCAAGATTGTTTTTTAACAATCACCATCTGCACTGATGATACCTTTATAGTGTGAAGTTAAAAAATGAAGTTTAAAAACTGCCCTAGGCATCTATGAAACATTCACAGGCCTTGGCCAGCATCATCTTGCTCAAGCACAGCATCAGCCCCCCCCACCCACCCATAGTAGGTAGCCCCTCTCCCTACCAAAAACAGCTCTAAGTTCTGCCCAAACATGCACTACATCACACCTGTGTCCACAGCAAACTTTGCCATGCAAAGCTTCCAGCAAACACCCACTGCTGCCACAGCATTTTGCCAAGCAAGCACCACATCACACACCCACTGCTGCCACAGCATTTTGCCAAACAAGCACCACATCACACACCCACTCTGTCCACACCAAACTTCCCCAGGCAAAACCTCCAGCAAACACCCACTGCAGTCACAGCAGGCATGCACCACACAGAGGCCCAATCAAACACCCACTGCTGCAGAACCCACTTTTCTCCAAGACCTTTTAACCTGGCAGAAGTGCCACATGCCCTTCAAAGGCCAAGATGCCTCTCCCATACTTCCAAACCATGCCAGAGTCTCAGAGTGCATTTTTTCAAAGGCGCTCTTCAGTCCTTAGTGTACCTTGTCACTTCTTGCAATTCAGCAATGATGGGCCTCAATTGCTCTATAATGCTCTCATCCACAGTTCCAGGTGTTTGGGAAACCTGACCTGCTTCAAGTGGATACTGGCTTTGCAGCTTCTGCCACTTCTGCCAGTTGTGGTAATGCACTAGTCTGATGGCTTCTTCAAATGTTCTGATTTGATAAAAGGTCTTGGAGAAAGATTTCTGGCTGTAAGGTGGGTCCAATTCCTTGCGCGGGTTCTTCCAAGTAGATGTAAATCGATGGTCTTGGTAAGAAAGCCCAAACTTGCACCCAGGTGGCTGCATGGCAGCCATGAGCTCTTCAGGCGATTTCCTTTTAGGTGCCCTGGGTCTTGCAGCAGAAGATGATGATGGGCCTCCTGCTCCTCCTCCATGTTCTCCTTCTCCCCTTCCACTTTCTCCTTCTCCCCTTCCATCATCTCCTCCTCCC